ATTTTGTTGAGTGTACTATAAAAACAGTTACTAAATAAAAAACATTACTCGATAACAATTTTTATTTGATTTCATCGATCAGTTTAGTATTTGCGAAAAACTCTATCACGCTAAAGAGTTGTGATCACCCCCCCCCCCCCTTCCCAATTTTCGATTCTTTATAACGATATCATCCTCCCCTCCCGACTTTTGATTCTCAATAACGATAGAAAATATTGAAAGTTTGTAGTTTTTACCTAGAGGTACTAGAAATCGGCTTAGCAGTATGCAATGATGAACAACTGTGGTCCTGCTCATGTCTGTGCTTTAGACAAAAGTTTTCTCGACATGATTCGCATTGAACTTTTATTAGCTATGGAATAACATGAAAAAGATAGTTAAATAGACAATAGGTTGTAAAATACATATAATAATTAATAACATATTAGCAAGAATGTTTAGGAAACACGGGTGCTATGCACTGCCCCGCCTCTTATTGCTGCGGTCGTGGCCGGTCAATCCTCCGACAACCTTCACATGCAAGATTTTCATTATAAGTCATCTTTGATTCCAAGGTTTTCCTACCGTTTCCAAGGTCTTCCTCCCTGTTGTTATGCTGTACTAACAATTACTGACTCTCAACGGGACCACATAGCTAGGTTGGCATTGCCGAAATCGAAAATACATTTTTTACAAAAATGCCTCGTTCTTTGAAAGTTTTGTCTCGCAGCCTTTTATTAGTAATATGCAAGTAGTTTTGTTAATTGATATATTAGACATATAAACACAGGAGACCAAAACTTCAGGATGACTAGCAACTACATATAACCCACAAGTCAGTGAAAACCGCGTTTTCTATTCTTTTCTTCTTATTCTTAAAGTGCAGTTGGCCACCTCCCTCTGATAATTATTGGTCCCTCCTAAGGAGAATATACCAATAGTGAAATGAAGTGAAATTAAAAATTAGCATATTTTGGTACCTCTTTTTGCTTGCAACCTTTAACACTGCATTTGTTTACAAATGCATTTCTCTTTTTCACTGCCGGATCTGACTGACAATCCCTGTCAATATGTTCACCAACCTTTWAAAAAAACCATAACCGACAAACTTAAGATGTGTACACTTATTTCAATTCATCGTTCTCATAATGGCTGACGATCGCACGAAAATGAGGCCACCCAGTCATCTTTTTTTCTTTAGCGACAGTCTTGGGTGTTCTGCAGTCATCAACGTTGTAGGCCTAAAAGCCACAAAACTCAGGTCCTTGGAGCGTACGAAAGGGCCGGTCTAAGGAGTTAGTACACCTTCCATCGTAGTTCTTACGCAAAATCTTGACTGAATCTAGGAAGGTCGAGCAAGGCTGCTCGTTCGAAATAAAGGTGGTTAACGCGAATTCAGGTTGAAACACAAAGGCCATTGATTACTTTTCTCCTATAAACGCATTTCGTGTACTTTTATATCTTTCACTTTTAACTGTGAACTAATGACCGGCTGACCTCGTTTTCGTGCATTTGTCAGCCATTATGAGAATGTCCTGTATAGAATGTCACTACCAAAGGAGATAGACTTAGTAATAAAAGCCCAAATTCAACTCATCGTGATCTAGAAATACCCGGGGGGGTACTCCCATGGACTACACGGGGATGATCCGCTGAACAGGGTATGGTTTTTCGAGCTTCTTGTCATAAACAGGGTATGCAATTTCACTCAAGCTTCAAGTTCTTCCTGAGTTTTCTGTCATATTCAAGGATTCTACTTTCGTATTGACCGAAACTGGTTATTATGGTCGTAAAAAACGATACGCGAGATGACATGATAATTGAAACAGGAACTCAGTGCAATAAATTATATCTTTTATCATAAACAGGGTCTACAAATTTGAGTTTTTTCATTATCATAAACAGGGTACCCCTTTCAGAATTCCAGCGGAACACCGAAACAACCCTACCAAAATTCTGGTGGAGTATCCCCCCCCCCCCCCCGGATTTATGCGAAGATAGATAGATAGATAGAAAGACGTAAAAAGTTTAGTTCCAGCCGTCATATCCAGAGTACGCGAGTTAATACCCTGCTTGCAAGGTCTTTTTCTGACCCCCGTCCAGACTTTAGGTCGAGGGAGTACTTTTCTCTCCCACCAGCCTCAGAGACAAGAATGTAAGATATAGAAATACTATCATATCGCATAAAGTGAACTGTTTGTGCGACCTGATAGTGGTGTCCCTAAACTGCTATCTAAAAAGTTATATGTCGTTACTTTTGTTACTACATGTATGTACCCCTGCCCTAGTATTATTTCTCAAGTTTTACTCTTAATGTGAGACCTAAGTTGAATGGATTGGAACGAAGAGATTAAAGAACACGCGTTGTTGAAAATCATTGCCGAAAACATCCTTAAATATTTCTCTTAAAAAGTGTTGTTTTACCCGTGCCTACTTGCAAGAAAGTTGTCATACAAGAATAGAACATTTGTAATTTAATAAATTAGTGATTTAGTAAATTTACCGATTAGGAATAAATCATCACTGACGTCAGAGTAACTAATAACATATCAGAAACGCCAGGCAGCGCTAGAATTCGTAGTTTTAGTTACGTTAGTTTTCCCAGTCTAAAGGGAAATTCTTTTAGCATTGTTGTTATGTCAACCTATTTATTTACTGCATGATAGCCACAATGGGATTCTACCAGCAGAAACGTACAAAAACAAATTCTGATCATATTTTTTATTGATTCATTTTCGTTTTAACTTTGAAAATACATCTTCATCTGCATGCCTGTTACATCATGTCGTCCAAAATTATCTTTTTCTTACTGATGAATTCGAGTCTGACGTCAGTGCAAATTTATTCCTAATCGGTAAATTAACTAAATTACAAATGTTCTATTCTGGTATGACAACCTTCTTGCAAGTAGGTGTATACAGTATTGTGTATAACTCAGTAATGTATGAAGTGCATGTTTGTAATACCTTTATATCTGGTTGTTCTCCTCTTGGTACTGGTACTGGTGTATGACATAAAGGACATATTGGAACTTGATTAACCTTTCATTTATACAACAATACAAGTATTAATATTTGAAAATTAATGACTTTAATATTATAGCATAAGACATAAAGGAGTTTTTTTTGTAATAATGATAATGATGATGATGATGATGATATGATGATGGTAACACCTTGGCAGTCCCTGTGGTATCCTATATTTTTAACATCATAAACTGGAAAATGAGTGAAATCAAGAGACTGGACGTGGACTCTGATACCCATCTCGTAAAACATAAATGATAAACACAACTTTACATCCAAAACATGATTAAGGAAAGCAACACATATACTTTCTGGGGAGGGGGTGGGGTTTACTAGGGGTGGTTCAGTGGTAGGGAATTTCTGCTAGGATCCAGACCCCCCCAAACAATGTAAAATTCAACCCTATCTAAGACCTAAGATAATGTGGCAACTTTTATAGCGGAAGTTCTGTTCTAAAAATTATTAGGCAGTACCCCACACCCCTCCCCCTACCCTCCCCCCACCCTCCCCAACTTATTTCACTGAAGTTAGTCACCAAAAACCAACCCTTTTACAATTTTCTAAAACTCTATATCCATGAATGCTCAAAGTAGGCAAAACTGTAAGTAACTGATAAAAGATCTCGGTCCATCAATAGTTACCGAATACTTGAAACATGTTGAATGTATCTAACCAGACTCCTTATCAGTTTTGTAACTTCGTACAGGTTCTCCCCTTTTTTCCCCTCACAGATAGGGAGGAAATAAGAATATAAAAGGAAAAATAATACAGTATATAACATATTATTTAACATATGCACTGGGTAAAGGTTCCCAGCAAAGTTAGGAACATCAAATTAACATTCAAAAATCTGCAGGGTAAAATTATTTGAAATGTATAATATTAACCTAACCACCCCTCCCCCCAAAAAAAACTATGTTTGGCAATATTTCCTTTCAATAGGCCTTTTGCAACAACAGGTCATGTGACCCAACCCCCCGTAAAGAGAGACTTTACGTAAAATTGAACACCAGAAATGGAAAGAGCACCTTGATATTTGCAAGAAGGCAAAGTTTCAGCTTATAACATGTAACAAAGGAGAAATGGCATTAAATACAAAATCGAATAAAGGATTTGTATGGGGAAATATGCTAGATAGCAAGCTTTGCCATCCAGCACATTTTCCCACACAAATCTTTATAAAATATTCAATTTTATATTCAATGCTATTTCTCCTATAGTCAACATTATAAGCTAAAATTTTGCCTTCTTACAAATATCAAGGTGCTCTTTCCATTTCTGGTGTTCAATTTGACACAACGTCTCTTTTTATGGGGGGTATGGTCATGTGACCAGTTGTTGCAAAAGGACTATTGGCATTAGATTACACATAGATGACATGCAATGATTGCTGAAGTCAGTCACTACCAAAAACAGAAGTGACTATTCTCACCCAGACCAACATTTAACTCATCATATGATCCTTTGCTTTTTATGACTTTACCTTTTTATAAGCTTGTTCACATGAGTGATCTGCATATCTTACATGATCCTTGCTGAAAGAAATTCATTTCAAAATTGAAGCATAAATTATGAAGAAACTTGAGGTCTAAATGTGAATCTTGTGAGGCACAGTCCCTCATATAACAATCACCAAGACCAACCCAGTAGAAATCTTATACTGTACTGGGCACAACAACTCTACTAAAATCTGTTAAAGGCCTTCACACTTGTGGGACCCATTGAGTAGCCGTTCACATGGGTTTATCACATTGTGACTCTTTCTTAAGATTTGTTAAAAAGTTATTTAGCATTTCTGAGTATTTGAAATTATTAGCTCATTGTATACTGGTAACCAAAAACAAAAAAAGAAATTGCATGCTCACAATCCCCTAAAGTACATGGTAATCAAGACTCTTTAAAGAAATGACTGCCATATATGTAATTTATTCAGCTGTACTGTAGGTTAAGCAAAGTTAGCCTGCGTGAAGACTGAATTTTACTGCTGTTAAGAGGGTCTTTACGGCAGTTAAATTCTGCACGCAGGCTAACCAAAGTCAATTATGTTTTGTTTTACCTTCCTGGGTAATCATGATATTACAAACTAATAGCGCTACCTTTCAATTGATTAGTGTTTAAATGTCTACTCAAGCCTCAGGAAGATGAGTAAAAGTCCCTCTACCTACGGCGCTGGGATTTCAACAAAATCTCTATTGTCTTTCCGGGACAGTAACAACCAATCAGATCATTCCATAAAATCTTGAAAAACTCACTTTTTTTTTGAGTAACTCAAATGACCTGACCTGACTAGAACATGATTAAGAAACGTAGTCCCCCCTCCCCCCAGCAGCCCCCCTCCCACTTATAATGACTAGTCTTAATAAGACTTTCTTTCTTGGCAAGCATAGGGAATAAAAAAATTTATATTTTGCATGCAAAAGGTAAAGTAAAATGTAAATTTTATTGCTCACCAAAATGTTTCACTGCAAGCATCACACTGCATTGGAAGAAAATCTGCAGGTAGAAATAAATTAACACATATGAGGCAATAATTAAGTGGTGTTTTTTTAACTTATTAAAATATTAAATGTAAGTAGGAGCCTTTATCTGGTATAAAAGCACAAGGGATAGTCCAGTAGTTTTAGACCTGATAAAACATGATCTGCAAGTATATTGAACTACTTATTAATAAGAAACCTGTGAAAAATTTATAAACCTTTGGTCAAATTGGAGCAAACATACAGGTTATGAACATGGACTTTTATACTGCAATAGAAGTTTGTACATCAATGCAATGTCCAGTGTGTTTTGTACATCACTGCAATGCATGGCAAGTCTAAAAAAGATTCCCACAAGTTGAAGGCATCATGCCAAACTTAAGAGAGGGGCATTAATATTTTGTTTACTTTAGATCAATGACTAAAATCATTATATAATTATAGCACAGAGAACAAGGATCACCATTGCAAATGGGTTAATAGTATTCAAAAACATTATGTTTAGTAAACTAGCTTGTTCAGTGTATAGGGGTGGGGCTGTTGCAGAATTAAATAAAATATAAAATCTTACATGAATGAAAAAATTAAATAAATAATAATTGATTAATATCGGAAGTCAACAAAAACCTATAACTAGAAAATCTGTATATTGATTATCATCAATTTTTATTGATGGTTATCGATGTCATAAATTATTGTTCAAGGCTGTAAAAGAATTAAGGGATGTGGTACATTGAACACAACAGATTTTATTACATATAAGACTTATATAGAGACTCTCTTTTTTTTATTATTATTTATTTTATTTTAATTTTTTTTAAATTTAATTTTTTTATTTTATTTTATTTTATTTTATTTTTTATCTTTTATTTTTTATATAGAGACTCTTACACTAACACAATTTGTCTTGTTCTGGTTTACGATAGAGAAGGGTGGTTGTAGCATGCATCCTGAGATCAAGAGAATGCTTTTCCATTTTCTCTAATCATGAGGAAAAAACCCCTAAATCCTAAAAAAGGCCTTAATGCCAGTGTGTGCATGGTATGCTCAATACTACATATCATCCCACATTGAACAGCAAAATACAAATCGCTAATATCAATAAGTTTTACTGCAATAAGTTTTAGTGCAAAGTTTTACTGCAAAAATTTACTTTATTATTTTGTACAAAAAGTGAAAGTTATTCAAAAGTATATTAATAATATACTTTTGAATAGCTTTCACTTTTTGTACAAAATAATAAAGTAAATATCTTTGAAAAGCGTTTTTCACATACATTTCTTTGCAATCTTACTTATTATCAATGTGACAAATTTGATTGTAAACTCCTTTTACCAATTTAATCAAATATCTTGTAATTTCACGGCAGCATGATATAGGTTTATTGGAGCAAATTTTGCAGCAAAGTGCCAAACAATATTTGGTTTGATTGACTGACTCGACCTATCTATTGATTTCAAAGTGAAGCCAACCTTATAAGTAGTTTAGTTAGCTTTAGTTGCATCTGAGTCATCCACTTTATTGATCGATCTCAAATGCTGTGCTTTTATACAGTGGAGAAAAATGTCAACCATCAATTTCGTACCCAGAGCCTGCGTTTCTTCTGGCCTGTGGCAAAGCTAAGAGCGAGGGCTCTGGCATAATTCATTTTTTGGCGCATGCACAATTTTCAAAAAGTGAGATATAAACGGTCAAAATAAGCAAAGTAAAAATTAAATCGAAGTCAAAATCGAATTCAAAATCATAGTACAAATTAAAAATTGGGGGAAAAATATTCTTAATTTTTGGCAAGTCTTTGAACGCATGCGCTGTTATACCGGAAGTCCAAGAAATCCTGAAGAAACGCAGGCTCTGGGTACGAGATTGGTCAACCATAGAAAACTTTGTGGAAGGATTTTTCAATAACAAAACTAGCCCTGTGGGGTGGCTGGTGGTGGGTCGTGTACATGTTACAAAAATCCTGTGCGGGAGAGTAAAAAGGTCGAAATTCATTATCGCCCGAGTCCTACGCAGGTAAGAACCTTGACATAACATGGCAGAAAATTTTCTGCAAGTGAAAAATTTTCTGCACGAAAATTTCGGTCATAGAAATCTTTGAGGAAGGGCCAAAAGAGTTTTTTATATATAAAGATGAACCCTATCGTGGGGATTATTTTGATCAAATTTTTTTGCCTCGGAAGGCTCGTGCAATTTAACATCTTAATTTTAAAGCTTCACTTGTAGTGATTTTTTTTTTCAAATTGCACTCGAAACCATTCGATTTCCTATACATAAGAGCGACATTAGAAATAGGAAAACAAAGGCACGCGCGAAAAAAATGTTCTAGTGCGTTTTTCATCAGTTTTTTTACTCTTTCGCATTACGAAGGATATTATCTTGACCTCGAATTTTAAAAATAATTAATCATTGAATTTTTCCGATTATATTTTCACCATTCAATTTAATCTAAATTGGGCTCCCTGTATAGTACACGCACAATATTGAAATTTCAAACTGGTTATTAGTCCTTCGTCAAAATAAAACAAGTTTTTGTGTTTACCTAATTGCTTGCAAGTCTTTAGTGTACAATGCTGTCCTAAATGGGGAAATTCCATATCCTTCCTATACGCTTTTCTCCTACTGCAAGATTGGTGACTTTGAACGAACTTGTATTTTCCTCTATCGCATCACTTGGTTACATAGCTGTAGCCTTCCTCCACAGTCTCCCTCGATCATACGCTACACATAACGAAAACCAAGATGGCGGCAATAGTGGGGAGGATGGTGAGGAGTACGACAATTTCTTGTCGAATTGCACCGTTCTTATCAAGGTTATCTAAAAATTCCACTCCATTACGTAAGTAGTATTAACAATTTCATACAAAAAGTCAGGCATGTGTTAAAGAGCTTGAGAAATGAAACCTTTCTTGAGTCATAATCAAATCTCAAATGTTCATAAATTGTTTGCGTTTGTGAAATTTCGCAGTTGAACTCAAGGATCTATTCTAATAGGTTTCCCTATTAAATATTATTTTCAGTAAAGCCCCACGAAACTAGATCCCGGCTTTTTATTCCTTTCGGCTCGTTTCCTTCATGTTGGAGGCGATGGCAGTCCACTGAAGGCGCAATTGAAGACAGAGCAAAGCTTAGGACTTGGCTTGATAAAGCAAAGAGCGCAAACTGGCTCTCACGATGGATTAATGATGTTGATGAAATTGAAAGTTCGGTATGTAACTGACTATATAAGGGTGCATTTGCACTAGGCCAACAAAAATTATTTGGCCCTACCAAATTCCTACCAAAGTTTGTCCCAACAGAATTTCTGTCTTGTAAAGGCTGGTTCACACTAGCAACGGAATCGGAAGTGGAGAGGAGTTTAAGATCTAGTATGAAYCAGTAAGATCTAGTATGACGCTAGTGTGAACCAGCCTTAAATCGTATTTGACCCCAAATATCAACCAGCAGAAAATGATGTAGAAATGATGTCATTGCAAAACTGAAGTGTCCTGTATATATATATATATATATATATATATACATGTACAGTAAATATGCTATACCCCCAGATATACAAACATATGTAAATTTGTCAATTTACAACTAAAGTTTTCTTGGCCGATATAACAACTGACATAACGAACCTTCGTAGGGTTGCTAAAGTAAATGTGCTCTTTATAGTGATGTCATTGGTTTTTTGATTTAACTCATTTTCAATTTTCAGCCACCATTTTGGTTAAGTAATCAGGGAGCAAATGTCGTAAAGTAAGGTCCAGTGGGAATTTTGTGTTGAAAGCAGCCAACTAGTCTAGATGTGTTAAGAGGACCTTAAAAATTTCTTGGCAACTTTATAAGTCGCATTGACGTGTTTTAGGGAGGGTTGAAAAATGTCCTGTAGTTTTCAGCATGGAAACGAGGCTACTTCAAAAAATTAACCTTTATTTCAATTGTATTTCAATGTATCACCATGAAATTAGGTCAGGATGCATGAATAGCTGTTTGAAAACTTTCCATAAGCTTTTATTAAGGTGAAAAATTTGATCACGTAACTTTTAGCCTGGAAATGAGGCTCTTAATAAAAATGACCTAAAATCTCTAGTTTCTTTCTATTATTTACACTCATATTAGTAATGTTCATTGCTTTTGCATTTTAAATCTTTGAACTTAATCAGACAAACCTTGAATCTAAGGTTTGTCCAATCAAGTTCAAAGTAAACATAAAGTGAAGGTAAATTTCATAATTTGCATAATGATCATTAGCATAATCATTGGGTTTATTGGTTGTAATACAGTGAATGTTTTTGAGGCCTCATTCACCATTAGCTTTGGTACTATACTGCAAGCTGGTCTCAATTGTTGGCACTAAGAGTGGTCAAGGCCCAGGTTTTGTTGCACTCTCAGTGTTTCTTTTAACCTTCCCATTTCATTGGACACTGGACCATTAATTAACGTAGTCATCCTAGTGACAAGGGATTCACAATCCCCAAGTAAAGAGCCAGGGATCGAAGGGTTTTTCTTTATTTTTTAAAAATCTTATATGTTGAACTTGATGCTTTTATGTTTTCATCAAGGGAATTGCAGATTTTAGAGCCAAAGAAACAAATTTACCATAGTTAGTTCTAATTTTGGGTGTACAGAAAGATTTCTTGTTTGCGAGATGAGTATTATATGAGTGCCATTTTGAAACTAAAGAAAAAAAGTCATCAAAGACAGAAGGCAATCATTATAAGAGAAGAATTTATGCATAAAACTGGCCATTGTGAAGAGTCATTCAATCACATCTGGAAAAAGTCGTGATATGCAAAGCTCTCTTTTGAAGAAAAAATTGAGGTTAGATATTAGAATAAGAGATACCTCATATGAGAAGACCATAGTTGAGATGTGGTTACTATAGGGATTTAAGTTTTCAGTATTCAAAAAAAATGCCTCATTTTAGAAAATAAATGCAAAGGCTTTTTTACATTAAACTAACACATTTTGATGCAAAGCTATCATTTTACCAAATAAGACAAAACATTAATGGAAATCGTTTAGTCTTTTTTAAATAAAGTGACTGGCCAATATTACCTGACAAGAACATATTTGAGCTGCCATTACATGTATTTCGAACCCTGCTTCTATCAGGCTTCTCCCAGAATCTCACTTCCAAAAATCATCCAGCCACTTCTCCTAAAAGAAGCTAATTAAAATATTTTTTTGCATTTTTTTAGTTGATGTCAGATGAGGAGTATGTGGAAAGAGAAAAGCTTATACAAAAAGTAAGTGATGGTATCTCTAAAGCCGTGAAAATTTCAAGCGCCAATGAAACCATTAATTTGTATGGACGTTAATCATTGCATTGCAATGTTTTCCCAAGATAACAAATTATTTGTTATTCTCAAGATTATCATTTCTTCGTTTAACAGTTGAACAGGAGAAAACAAATGAATATGAAAGCAACTCAAACAGAAATGTTATTCTCTAGGGCTTATGATCTTTTAAGAAATGAAAGGATCTGAAATGGTAATGCAAACGGGTTTTACAAAATGCTTTATTTCATCATAGAACTTAATCCTAAGACTTGATACGTACCTTGATAATAAAATTTTACATTTACTAAACTGGTTTAAGAAAAACTTATGAGACACTTCTAAGAGCTGACTTGGTATAACTTCCACATCCTTATCAAGGTACTAAACACATCTTAATTGCATAATCAAATAATTAACCATTTCACAATACCATTTTACATCCTTTTATTTCACAAAAGATCATAAGTCATTTTCTGGGGAATGACAACTGGTCTGAAATGAGTTAAGATAAATATGGTCCACTGACAACTTTTTTCCATGCCTTTATTATGTTTATGATGGTCCAAGCTTGATGGGACATACAATATGCATCAGATGAATATAGCATATATATAATATATTTTATCCTCTTATCATCCTATCAATACATCACTGTGGAATAAATATGGTGACAAAAATATAGCACTTTCAGTGAGTAATGCATTTCAGGTCAGGAAATAGGTAAAAATGGGCCTGCCCCTGTTTTTTATGTTTGACAGGTGAAGCAAATTTTGACCTGCCATTTATTTTTATGGAAAGACTTCTGACAAAATTAAATTTCATTATTTTCAGACTTCTAAATAAATATTCTGAGCATGCATTAGTTCTGTAAGAGTATTTAATATTAAAAAGTAATGATACTGGTACACATGTTTATGCATCCACAAACTAACTAGAGGATCTTACCATGGAGAGCTTAAGACAAGGGACACTCTTTTGACCAGTAATATTTTTGAATAAAGGAGATTTATTTGTGAATGTCAACAAATACCAGATATAGAAACACTGAAGGATGATGTGCTGTAATTTTAGCCTGCAATTTTATTATCCATTTGGCAGTTTATAATTATTTTTGCCTGCCMAACCTTATATTTGGCCTGGCATTTGGCTATTGGCAAGTCGCTTTTTCAAGCCCTGTATTTGCATAATCAGACCCCTAACAAATACTCATTTCTCTGCTTTGCGTATCCACAAGGTTAAAAAGAATTCCATTTAATTTTTAGAATAGTAAATATAGAGTGAATGACATTTAAATTGACAAAAATCCATAATCGCAGTTTAATGCTGTAATTAACAAATAAAACAGCTTTTTCCGTGCACGGAAAGAGCTGTTCTATTTGTTTTATGATATACTTACTTATTTTATTTCGGTATTGAATTTATTTATGCAAAAAGAAAGACGGTCGCATCAGGATCCAGCAGCACTTCGCGCGAGCGGGTGGTGTCAGCACTGTGCTCCGTTCACTAGTTTTCTACCAATCATCTTAACTATGTAATAAAAGTTAATATATTTCATTGTTGCAGATGACAGAAATGTACTTTGACAACCCTTCAAAAAAGTGGGATGCTGAATTCTTTGAAGAGGTTTTTGATACTCTTATGAAGTACAATGACAGGTAATTACAAAGTACATAATGGCTATAATAAATTGCTGCCCCGGGGGGGGGGACTCCGGGGTAAAACTATCTGGTATGGTCTTCGTATCTCTTAGGGGTAAAAAGCAGCGATATGGTATCTTTTAGGGTGTTAAATTTGTTATTTAGAATTTCGGCATTTCTTGGTATCTTTTAGGGTATCTCTTAGGGGTTAATAATCGTCCAATTAAAAGACTTCTGGTATATTTTAGGGGTATTTTTGAAAATTTCCGACGAGAATAGCCGATACTTTTACCGCGGAATTCCTGACTTTCGAAAAGTAATAACTCTTTCGCCCTATTACTTAGATTTTGGATTTAATCACTTTTAATGTTTTTTCCCTTCCCCGGTTAATGTTGATGCATGAAGTTGAGTGTTGGAGGACGATGTTTTGAAAGTTGCAGGCAAAACTTGAATGTTATTGACATTGATTTTTGTCGGGCGGGATTGAAACGCTAAGTGATCTACGAAGTTCTACCTTTGTAGAATTTGCCCAATACCGCATGATCACCTCGAGTTCATTCATTCAAGAAGGACTTTTAACCACTAACATCCCTCTTGATAAATAGTGATTAAGTACAATTTGATCTAATATTCGGCTACGACTCGCATTCCTAAGCTTGCTGTCCTTAGTTTTCGAGTGCTGTACAGCTTTTATACAGTGTTTATATCACAGTACAGAGAAATAATCAGCCGTTTTATAGATAGTTTTTTTGAAAAAATATTTGGATTGAAACTACTTGATGAATATTTCGTGGAAAAAATTTTGGTTTAGTAAGAGTCGAGATGTTCATTTTCACACAACTGCTCTTCTCTCTTCATAATTAGGGTAGGGACAGAAATCTTTTTGGAAATGATGAGGGAAATGCAAGTGGAGGTTAATCCACAGTTACTCGCAAAGGTAGGTCAACATTTTGCAGTGCCAAAAAAAACTTTAGTAATCAAACACTAATTCACGATTACTTTCATTTACTTGTGGTCTTACTTTTCTTGAGTAAACGTTCAAAGTATTTGCCCTTCAAACTTAACTGAACAAAGGTATAAAAGATCACAATAAATATTGATCACGATACCCCCAGGAATGACATGAAATCTGGTCTGATCTTTTATTTTCCAGTAAATGATTACGATTGATTATTTCTCTTCACTTTTTTCAGGTTGAATTGTTTGTGAAGAAAGCCAGAGATGCATCGTGGTTTGAAGACTAGATAAGTCATTTTCTTGACTATTGGCTTTTTTTATTTAAATAAGAACTTGCAAAATGAAGCGGCCCGTTTGTTCTTATAATATCAGCTTTTGTTATTATATTTGTAGCTGATTTGAAAAGCCTGAACTTATTTTCTTTGTGCTCCAAGTTTAAACATTAATAAATAGTAGTAATGTTTCTGTTCAAACCTGAAGTTTTACTTTTGTAGAATATAAAAAGATTTAAAAAAGTTCATACTAAACGAGAGCGGACTTAACATTATTTTATGATCCATGATAAATTCTGACAAAAAATAATTTTAATGGTCAACTTTGCTAAAAAAAAATTACGGACAACGAGAGACTTAGAAATAAAAGCTCAAATTCAACTCATCTTGATCTAGAAATTGTTATCATGAGAATAGTTTCGACAAAAATATCAGATTGTAGCTAGGAGCCTGAAATACAAAGTTTATTCCTGCTTTAGACTTGATTTCAAACCTAAAGAATATTTACTATTTAAGGTAAAAGAAATATAGTACTGTAGATTGAAAGTCGAAAGTCACGATATTTTGAGAAAGAGAACAATATTTTAGCGAAACTCCAACAAATGGACAACAAGTTGACCAAGAACTCATATTTTACAGGTAGCTAATAACGCTAATCAAATGCTCCATTTTACATTTCCGTTCCGCCACCCGGTTAGCTCACTTGGTAAGAGCGTCGGTCTGTTGTGCGGAAGGTCGTGGTTCAAGCCCCTGCCGGACCAACACTCAGGGTCTTAAAATAACTGAGGAGAAGGTGCTGCCTTTGTAATTATATCTGCAAATGGTTAGACCTTTAAGTCTTCTCGGACAAGGACTTAAAACCCTTAGGCCCCGTCTGTCTTCACTATATAACCCTGTACAAGGCGGACGTAAAAGATCCACTGAAAGAAAAGAAAAGAAGAAAAAAAACTCGAGGGCCACAAGTAATCAGTTAACAAAATTACTGTCACTTGTCACCCTCATTAAATAAAGTCTTCAATCAATCAATCAATCAATCAGTAACCACGAATAATAGTTCAAAGTCGAGGCTAGAAAAACTATACTTTTATCATGCGCGGCAACTCCAATCTCGACTTTGAACTACCATTCGTGGTCACTGAACGCAACTGTTAAATGGAGTATTAACCAACGGAACACAAGACGCGTGAAGCAGTATTAATTATAAACGCGCGATATATTTTATTTAAATCATTGCTGCTGTGGGCTTTTTACCGGGTCCGAGGAACTCTAAGAGGTACGAGATCGTAGATCGTAGCCCGTAATTCACCATTTTCAATACATTGGTTCACTGGTCAAACACAAAGCGCTCAAGCGAGGCGCCAAGGTACTTTCAAAGGATTGTTCAAATTTGAACCTTGCAACCCCAACTGCATGCTTGTGAACCGATGTATGGAAAATAGTGAATATTGAATAATGAATATATAATATGGGGTCTTGCGGATAGTCATGATCGGTCATGCACTGCCGTATTATATATAATACAAAATAGGCAGTTTCGTACCCAGAGCTCCTCGGTATCGTTCCTCCCGAGCTCTGTGACCTTATTACATAACAATGTGTTCTTTATTACATAGGAATTTGTTTCTTAATATTACATAGGAATGTTTTGGAGCCAATCTGACGAGATTTCACCTCAGTTTTAAAACGGGCATACCAGCTCCAAGTCGTGTAGAGAGAAAAAGAACAGCTTAAAAAACACACATGGGCTTGCTGTGTATGTATAAGCCTGGGAACGAGTTTGGGAGAGCTCGGTACGGGAATGACAGGAATGAGAATAAGCGACGAGAAAAGCAAAGAAAGAAATTTTAATGAGCTTTAGTCTTACGAAAAATAAAATAAATGGCCCAAAGATAGAAATTAATAAAGGAAAGATCGATGGACCAAAACGTCAAGTCCCTTGCAACTCTACAGGATGTTTTTCGGGGTTCCCTCGATCCAGAAGTTGTGGAGCTCATTTTTACCGAAAGCGACTGCGTAGGTGAGTGTACTTAAATATAGTGAGAGGATCCGAGCCAGGACTTGAGCTAGGACTCGATCGAGCTAGGGCTCGAGCCAGGATTCGAGTTAGGACTCAAAGGACTTGGACTTTTAAGTGCCGAGAAATTGCCGACAATAGAGCGAAACCATTGCTGTTTGATACTGAGCTGTGAACTTATAGGTTTACATCTCAATCAGAATGGCATGACTTTTGATGAGTTTTTAGCTACTTATAGGTCGTTAAGTACGTTCATATCTAAAATAGATACGTTCATAGTATTTATTGTGTGTTGGTAAAGTTAGTAAAGTCCTTTTAGTCTCACTGAATAGGTGACGTCAACTAAATTAGATAAGTTATTTACTATTTTAGGTGACGTCACCTTTGAAATCACGTGAAAAAAGACTAAATTCGGGGGGGACACAGTCATCCTATAAAGTCCTAATACTGTTCTGATTTTTCGGTTACTACTTCATGTAAGACCTCATGAAGTGGCACTAATAACTCTTGTTTTATGGTGTGTGTGCTGGTGTGTGTGTCCTTGTGGCTCCGTTGGCGTTTTCATGGCTATCGTTACTGCTTGGCTTACTTCAAGTGCTTGGCTTACTTCAGGTGTTTGGCCTACTTCAGGTGATTGGCTTATACTTCAGGTGATTGGCTTACTTCAGGTGCTTGGCTTACTTCAGGTGCTTTGCTTATTTGAGGTGCTTGGCTTACTTCAGGTGCTTGGCTTACTTGAAGTGATTGACTTACTTCAGGTGATTGGCTTACTTCAGGTGCTTGGCTTACTTGAAGTGATTGACTTACTTCAGGTGATTGGCTTACTTCAGGTGCTTGGCTTGCCTGAGGTGCTTGACTTACTTGAGGTGATTGGCTTACTTGACGTGCTTCACTTACTTGACGTGCTTCACTTACTTGAGGTGATTGGCTTACTTCAGGTGCTTCACTTACTTSAGGTGATTGGCTTACTTCAGGTGCTTTCATTACTTGGGGTGATTGGCTTACTTGAGGTGATTGGCTTACTTGAGGTGATTGGCTTACTTGAGGTGATTGACTTACTTCAGCTGCTTGGCTTACTTCAGGTGCTTGGCTTACTTGAAGTGATTGACTTACTTCAGGTGCTTGGCTTACTTGAGGTGATTGACTTACTTCAAGGTGATTGGCTTACTTCAGGTGATTGGCTTACTTCAGGTGCTTGGCTTACTTGAGGTGATTGACTTACTTCAAGGTGATTGGCTTACTTGAGGTGCTTGGCTTACTTGAGGTGCTTGGCTTACTTGAGGTGATTGGCTTACTTCAGGTGCTTTGGTTACTTGAGGTGCTTGACTTACTTCAGGTGCTTCACTTACTTCAGGTGATTGGCTTACTTCAGGTGCTTGAAGTGTTTCAAATATGTATGTACATAAATGTTCAAAGATATGATATCTGGGAGACTTGAGTTTCATATTTTCTTCAAAGTTTGAACATAGCAAACAAGATGGTATATGTAAAGGCAAGCGGAAAGTTCAAAACCTCACCCTCCATGGCCAGAGGTTTAACAGCATTGAATTTAATAATTAAGCATATTTAATGGCACTCCATTAACCAAGATATAAGTATGTCCATAGCTGCCATAGAATGATTGTCAGGTCAATTTATTCGCTCCCGTATAAAAAAATATTTTGTTTGAAAAGTCCTGAAAGTTTTATATGCAAATTTTCTTTCTTTTTCCTTTATGTCAAGCAAACCAAATAGGAAGGTTTCTTGGTTTTCGTAGGGGATAAAAATTTCATCTCATTTGTTTGC